CCATTTCTATTCGACGAACGTGAGACGCGCTGGTGGTCGTTCGTCTTCATTTCTTCAGTTAAGTGAATGTACAATTCCAATTATTTTACGCGATGAACTCAATTCAGTGTTCCTTGAGACTTTACTCCACAGCAGCAGCCACAGTATCTTTGATACGCTCTGCGTTATCCACTAGAGAAAACGCAGTGTGATTCCGAGCTATGGTTGCTCAAATGACCACCCTTGTTGGGTGATTATATCGGCTGCATATGGAACGCAGTGCGAAATGACTCATGCGAACCGAAACATTGCTTAGGAGCAGATCTATTCAATATGAAATGACAAGCCAAATCGAATACAAGCCAAGTAACAATTGACAAAACTACCAACTCAGGAAAAAGTATTGCCTCATTGAAAACCACACGCATAAAAACAGCCCTAAATAAAGGATTTCAGTTTTGGCATAGGACAGATATGTCAATTTTCAGTTGCTTTAGAAATAAATTTTATTGATTTTAACATTTTTGATTTATTTTTTTAACACCCTATGTGTTTTACAATTTCAAAACGAATTCTTATTCTAGAGTTCTGAGAAAAAAATATATTCAGGCCTAAAACTACTCATTGGTTTTTTTTTATTTTATTTTAATTTTTAAGACTAAAATCTAAAAATTTGAAGGGAAACTTAGGTGAAAAAAAGTTTTTATTTTCTGTTTGTCTTCTGTTAGGATCTTCATAATAACACATATTTAATTCAAGAACTAAGTTTAAGCATGTTTTAGTGTAAGTCAATATCACCCCCACCCCACTACTATCACTTGAGGGAGCTGAACATGAAAGAACATTTACATTGCCTATCACACTTCTCTTTGTTATTCAATACAATGAGATTGAATAGGTCACTTAGCGCAATCTCAGACATTAGTTATGCTTTATTCACTTCAACATCTTGTTTGACGATGAAAGAGCAAAAAAAAATAATTAATACGACTTTCTAGGAAATAGTTATTTCCACTCAGCAATGTATGAAGCTCCTCGTTTCTTTTCGTCTTTTTACAGCTCTTCATGAAAGTAAATTGGAATGTGTAGTAGCGGCGAAAATTATATACTTCCATATATATGTTGTATATAATTGTACTGCAAGTACAATATATATATATACATAATTAAGCTTGCTCCCTGCTGACTGCTTTGTTTTGTTAAAAACATACATATACACAAAAAAAAAAGGTGAAATGCTTATAAACGTAAATATATTTTCGTAAATCGGCAGAAAAATACTGGCTTTTGCTTAATAACATCACATTGCGCCGTTGTTGTTTTAACGATGACATACAAACATGCGTAGTTACTTGAACCCAACTGTGAATTGTTACACACACAAGCGCAATTGGTGTTGGCTACATTTTTATGATGCTGATAAGCCCAGTGAAGACAGCAAAAATTTTCCCTTCCATCAATTCCATTGAGACGATATGTCACAAGGGAGCTAAATTAGATTTTTATTACAATGGAGGAGAGGTGGAAATAGCTTTGCAGGATTTGAAGTGATTCTTAACAGTCTTTTATTTATTATTATTCTTATTCATAATTTCACTTTTTTGGTGCAAGTACTTCTATCACAAACCTCAACTCTGAACTTGTCCGAAATGTTTTAAAATTTGTGTTTGTTTTTGAAAAACCTCGTTTTTCAATTTTTTTGTCGGCTTTTTTAATAGTATATATGTATGTCCTCAGATCAGAAAAATTCCGAAAATTGTAATTAAAACGAAAAATTTTTAATCTCCGAAAATAATCATTTTATCGCCTTCAAAACATGCTCCTTCTGAAGCAATACACATATGCCAACTTTTTTACCAACTATCAAAACATGCCTTGTAGGTGATATCCGTAATCGCTTTCACTATCCTTGAAGGATTTTATTTTTCGACCTGAGTCGAGCCGAAACGGACTCCCCGGAGTGGTAACTTCAGTTTTGGAAACAAAAAAATAGTTACAGTGCGTCAAATCCGGTGAACATGTTGGTTGATCGATGGTATTGAACGAGTTTTTGGTCTTAAAATCGTTCACAACTACAGCTCGGTGGGATGGGTCATTATCCTCATGAAAAATCCAAGAATTGTTGATCCATAATTTCGCCAATTTACCACGCCTCAAAACGCTCAAATAATACTCTTTATTGACGGTATGTCCCGCTTGAAATGATATCCCTAAAATTTCTGGTCTTAAGTAAGTATGTGGATCTACTTCATTTCTAAAACATGAATATATGAAGCAGAAGACAAATCACATATGTTGTAGAAGATTAGATAAATTATATTAATCCGTCCATTTATTTGTATGATTTTCATTCATAATCCATTAAACCCTAAAGATAGCTTTTAAATAGAAATAAAAAATGTGCAATATTAAAAAAAAGTTTTCACAATAATTTTCAAAATTAAGATATTCGATTCATTGAGTTGGTGTGTGGGTTGATTAAAAGAGGCAGGTTCCTTGCCACAAGCGGCCGCACCTAAGCTATTGATCAAGCTTTTTGTGCTCTCTCCCATTCGTTTGTATTGAGAATATAAAATCCAAACATATTTTTATTTACTCTTTTCCTTCTTATTCATGTTCTTCCATGGCATAAGCACTGCTAACGCGATTATTGCCGATTCAAAAATATCGCTCCATTCGTTTTTTATTTTTCCAAAGGTGGAAGTTAACTCCTTCATCTGCTTCCACCAACGAGTGGCAGAGCAGCGAATGCTTACAAAGCTGCAGAGCTCTCATTTATTTAGACCACATGATCTAGCCAGTGTAGCCGCTGTCTCTATATGCGCAGCTTATTCTATGTCTCTTGCGGCATGTAGAGTTTAATCCTCGTTTGGCGAAATTGGGTTTAACGTTTCAGCCTAAAGTAGCATCTTTTAGTAATAGTAACTTCGCTTTGAATTTCCAGACTGACATTGTTGTTAATAGCCGAATTCATCTACCACTTCAAAGTTTTTGGTACGGAACGGTTCGGACAGGTTCTTTACGCTTCTGACGCAGCTTTTGATGCTGTTCAGTATCAGCCGAAAGTTTTTCAGGAATATCAAACTCAGGCTCAGCGGTGTAGAGGCAGCATCTCATGGGGTTACCGACGGCAACTTTAAAATTAATTAAAAGGTGATAAGTTAGGTGGATTTCCCAATTCTGAAGTTGTTATAAAAAGGTACAGTTAGTTCGCTGACGATGAGCTTTAATCCGTCGCACAAAATGCTAGATCACACTTTATATGCGAAATTGAGGAGGATTATTCCATAGTAACTGCCTTTCGTGCGACCATATTTAGCAAAGAAGCTTATTCATGCACCATGTCAGTTCTTCGACGCCATATTTGAATAGCTCAATAGATAAACCATAGGCTCCCGCAACTTTAGAGCTACTCTTTAGGCGAGTAAATCGAACTTTGTCAGTGTCGGGCAATATTGATTGAGAGCTCGGGTGCTGCAGTTTTAGCAGGCAGTTTTAGCAGGCTGAAGAAATGTACTTCCATAAACTGAGTATGTTCTAGAAATCGATTACTACAATAGTTTGTCTCCTAGGTTCCCACCAGAGTATGCTATGGTTTTAAAAACTTCTTTAAATACTCGCATCTTTTCATAGAATTATCCATTTTCGTGCAATATAACTGTCGACCTCAAAAGCGCCATACTTCGCTCTTGCTGTGGTCGATCGCAACTATGCGTGGTAGGTAATTGGTTTTCTCTCTACTGCAGGTCGACATTTCACTCCCTCTCTCATATCACTCTTCTATCGTCATTGTTGAAAATCAATTGTGTCTGTAGTCGCGATCCGTAGAGAGCTGTTAGACAATATTGCTGATGAGTACTCTCAGTATCTTTTTGATGACGAACTTTCACTGTGCTTATTGACGAGCGTGCTTTGCTGTACAGAGTCTGTACAGGGTTGTTTGTATGTTTCGTGCTTCGCTGCACAGGTTCATTGCATACATACTGCTAATGTGAAAGAAAGAAATTGAGTGATCCGAATCAATGGTAAACTAACAAAACGTACGGACATCTAGAACACTGGAGGCATGTCTTCTGTCTATCGCAACACAATCGATTAATAGCATGTTTTTTGTATCCGGTAAAAACTATGTGGTTTTTGTTTAAAACTGGGGCCGCATGCAACTATAAGAATTTCGGTGAATTCGAACAGCCACAGCTCATCTATATATAAAGTGCCCCGCCCTGAATGACCGAACGACCACAGCCTAAACTATTAAGCCTAGAGACCTGAAACTCAGAGAGTTCGGAGTGTAACGTAGGCATCGGTTAAAAAACGATATTCTGAGATGTGGACCTGGGAGTAATCTATTCGAAAAAATTGAAATTAATATTAAATCATTCGATATTCTTGAAATGAGCTTGTTATTTGCCCAAATTGAAGTGGGAAAAAAAGCGGGATGTAAACCTGGAAAAATTTATATTCGAAAAGTTTTTAATTATCATTTGATTTATATAAAATTTTGTAAAGAGGAAGTATTTCTGGAATCCGTCTTCATGGAGGGACCTACAGTTTATACGAAGCCGCCTCGGAACGGCAGATGGTTTTTACGAGAAGCTTTATTTCATGTCAGAAATTCACTCGGAGTTGAAAATCAATGCCGAGGGGTGACCGCAATTGGAAATTTTAAATTAATTTTCTACAACTTTTTGGATGTTAAAACGACACCAGGATTTCAATCCGAGCCTTTCGAATGGCAGTTCGCAATGCTAACCCCTCGGCTACCGCGGCCGCCACTTTGCATATATAATATTTTATTTTGAAGCGCAACACGAAAAGGGCGGGATAGTAAGAAGGAGATTTTAAAATCACACGCGCAAAAATTGAAAGCAATTTGAAAAGGCGATTCCTACGAAACAGATTTGGAAATCAATACAGCTTAATTTTTAGATTCTCTTTGTAACCACAAAATAGTCATTTTTTACAATTTAACATAGAAAAATAATAAATTTTAAATATTTGTCTCCTTATTTTATTTTTAGAATAACTCTAAAGTGAAATGTCAACATCAACAAGCAAACGAAGAGTGAAGAAAACACTTCCAGACACCAAAACAACCAAAGTCACTTAAAACTTTGCCTGCAGACAAACAAATCCTGCTGAAAGGTGAAAGGCAGCAAATTAAAAATGAAACAAAAAAATCAGTAAAAAATAAAATAAAAATCAACTTCAAAGCAAAATAGTAATTGACCTAGAACCCGCCATGTGCAGAAACAACAACAAAATATATATTAAACCAATAACACTAACAACAATCATCAACTGTGTTGACAACGTAAATCATGTCGGACCAAAAGCAAAATCGAAATTCATCAAAAGACAAGCAACGCCCATTTAATAAGCGCAAAAGTCAAACATATTAAAAAAATAAACCAAAAAAAACGCATACCTACACACACACATACATACACATAAAGTAGAATATTAAAATGCTCGACCCACAGATGCTGACGACAACCACAACACTGTCGCCGGTGTCGGTGACAGCGACGTCTCTAAGTGAAATTGAGAGCCTAGTGCCGGACAGTGGTGGCGTTTTCACTGAATTCCAAAGTGGCAGTGGTGATGGTGGTGTAGTCGCTGGTGTCATTTCCAGCGGCATGAATACTCATACTATTTTTGGCAGCTTAACTGAGCACCTACTTGATAATTATTCACAGCTTATTGCACCAACAACGCTTATGGATTGGTGCAATCAATCGTTGCTACTTTATAGTCACAATAATTGTACTAGCGCGAGTAGCGATGGAGGCGTTAACGGTACATTGACGTAAGTACAATGGAGAATTTATCAATATTATTCAAACTAACAATATTCACAATTTAATGTTATTAAAAACAAAAACAAATTATGATAAAAAAAAATTTATTGAAAAGTAAACCATTTTTTTTTGGCAATAGATGACTTTAGTGAACTCCGTCTCGCGTTCTACAAGTGCAATTGAATACCGCTAGATGGCGCTAGAAAGATGATATTTTGTACTAAAAATGATGATGGGAGCAGTGTTGATCCCTTAATTCAGTTGTAATTGAGCGCAAGTCAAATGTGCCCACCTCCGAAGAGAAAATTCGCTGTATTCTGCAATCTTTCTTGGATAGAAGCGAAAGCTCTCCACCCCAGACAGCTGGAAATGTGAACAATGTTTATTATCCTGACACTATAAGAATCAGCACAATTTTGGTTTCCCCGATTTCGTTCCAATTGTCGATACTGTCGATAAAATAATGGTAATCTTCGAGTCTGATCGTGATATGAAGATTGTGTTTCGATAGCACCGAAAAGATAAGCATTGCAATAAAAAAAGTACTTTAGAAGCTCTTGAAAAAGCTGGATAAACACAGAAGCTCAATGTATGTATGGATGTCACATGAGTTAAGGAAAGCAAGCCTCATGAACCGAGATCCCATCCAAAATCGGCTCATTTCTAAAGCGGATGATTGCTGGTGTTGAAAAGTTGTGAAGACCCCAAGTCCAAGGCCTGGGAGCCTCCACAGCAGCAACAACAACAACAGAGAAGTTACAACATATATATAAACATAGAACGTATATATATAAACACACACATATATATATGTACATAATATAAATATGTACTAAACCTAGCCTAGCTTAAAGGCACTAGCGTAGCGAGCCGTCGCTGTTAAGTAGGGCAAAGAAGAACAGGCGATAGGCCTACCAACAAAAGGCAGTGCATAACAGTCCACCTATAGGCAAATTTAGTATAAAATGAGCAGCATCAGCAGTGATACGACACTTCTGTTTGTGCTGTCGTAGTTAGAATATATGGTGTGTCGTGAAAACGCTGCCAATAGAGATATACGGCTGACGTGAAAACGCTGCCAGTACGATACGGTTTAAGATATATGGTGTGTCGTAAAAACGCTACCAGTAGAACGTTTGAAAATAAAGCTACCTGTGTAACGTAGAACCATTCGTGTTGTCCTTTTCTTACGCTTTTGCAAATCGAGATTATAGGAGAGACCCATTATCCGGCTGAGAGATAGCTATAAACCGGGGAACCGGGTACGTTACAAAGTGGATCGTAGGTAGCAATGTTAAATGAAAACGGTCATGCTCGAAGCGCCAGAATTGATGGTCAGAATGGTTTTGTTGCATATTTGATGGAATTTGCAAGAAATCATCCGCTTTGAGCTGCTCTCCTCGGAAACAATTGGCCAGAAGAGTCCACAAATGTGGTATGGCACACACTTCAATAGTAAATCGCCAGAAGGCTCGACAGCTTGGTTGGGAGGCGTAATCACTTGCTCCTGTATATTCGCCAAGTCGATTTTTTCAACTGCTGGCCAAAAAAAAATTCGTTAACATACGAACATAATGCTATGGATTGTCGTTTTCAAAGAAGTGAGATCTAATTACACCTCCAGACCAAAGAGCGCACCTGAGGATAAAGACTTTGTTTATTTTTTAGGGCTAAGAGCTCTCACGAATTATTTGAGTCTCAAAGTGACGACTGTGTCAGTTTTGCTTATTAAGGTATCCTCTTAGTGAGAATTTTACCTCATCGCTGAAAAATATTTTGTTTCGAAAATGGCCGTCCACTGCTTGTTATTAAAGCGAATGGTCAGCTGGCTTCCGTTGTTGTGTGAGGTGGTCTTTATGTAGATGTAGGTATAATTCCAAGAGTAAAAATGCATTTATTGTAAGTTTGTATTTAGCAAAATGTATATTATACGAGGTGTGTTCAAAAAATATTACGAATTTTGTGTTTTTTCAAAAATTATTTATTTATTCATGAATATCTATTTTGTCCCCTTCAAAGTAATCCCCATGAGATATTATACACTTGTGCCAACGGTGTTTCCAATCTTCGAAGCCTCTAAAAAAATTATTTTTTTTATCTTGTTCAGCTCCTCATTCGATGCCGTCTTTATCTCGTCATTCGTAGCGTAACGTCGTCCTCTCATGGGCTTCTTCAGTTTAGGGAACAAGAAAAAGTCACAGGGGGACAGATCTGGGGAATACGGTGGCTGTGGCATTATTAGTGTGTTGTTTTTGGCCAAAGGGTCGCACACAAGCAACGATGTGTGAGCAGGGTCGTTTTCGTGGTGCAAAAGCCAATTTTTGTTCATCCATAAATCTGGGCGTTTCTGGCGAATTGCTTCGCACAAATTGCCCATAAATTGCAGGTAATATTCCTTATTGACCGTTCTACCCTGTGGCAAGAACTCATGATACACCACGCCCCTGCAATTAATTTTTTGGTCCAAGGTAGCTTCTCAGTATGCCACAGTCAACATTCGGAATGCATCCGCGCACTTAATTTCGTTTTTCACACAAAATTTGATACAGGTTCTTTGATCCATTTTTTTTTTTTTGAATAGGTTAAAATCGAAGACCATCCAAAACACGTGCAAGCAAAGCAGCTGTCAACAATTAAGTGAACATTCAAAATGGCCGAGCTTGTTGGCATAAGTGACAGACATGAGTACCAACATAACGACACGAAAAAATTAAGCTTCGCGATACTTTTTGAACACACCTCGTATTCAATTACTACCGCGTAATATTGCCTTTACTATAATTCTTCAAACAAAATGGGTGAACCAAATCTTATTTATAATAATCTTGAAATACCTCCAGTAATGCCAGTTCTTTTCTTTGATCAAAACCTTAAGTTCTCCCTAAAGTGGGAAAGGGACAACTGCTCACTTACTTCACCTGCATATTATTTCATCATGAGAATCTTATAAATTGATATATCATATGTATGTACAAGTACTTGGAAAAAAGTACCAAAATTATTATTTTTTATTTAAAAAATTTATATTTGTAGTTTTTTAAATCAAAATTTAAATATAATAGTATTTTAAATTATTTAAAATAATTTCAAAAATTATAAAAAACATGTTTCTTTTCTTAATTAATTTAATTTTACTTTTTAATTAAAACAATCATGGACGCTGATAATAATGGGTTTAAAGCCATTCAACAATTCCCAGCGGAATATTTTCATATAAATGTCTATTTTTAATAAAATTTGAAGGCAAGCCTGAATAAAAAATGGTATACACGAGTATTGTAAAATAAAATAACATTATTTAATTTCCAACTGAAATCCAACTAATCGATCTTAAATTTATTATTTTTATGATTACATCTCCGAATTAAAAAAAATAATTTAATGAAAATTTATTCCAATTAAACTGCGCATCAGCGCTCAGTACTGTGCGAGGAAGAAAAAAATGATAATAATAAATATCCGAACAGAAAACATGAAAAATGAACGATAAAGGAACCGGAAATTTGCGCTTACAGCTAAGAAAAAGTATAAGAAAAATTAGCTGTAAATTCGAATCGTGAAGAAAATATATTCGATTATTGCCTATTTTGCCATGCACACCAATTTCGCATACAATTCAATTGCAAATGCAAATGAGCAAGGCAGAAATGGTTGCCTACAACGACACACAAATGTAGACAACAAAGTAGAGAAAAATCAGTCAAAAGTAAAATACAAATGAATATTAGATAAAGACAACCAAATATATGTACATGCATGCATATAAAAAATAAAATTGAGACAAGTTTAAAGCCAAGTATAAAATATTTAGAGCTTACCTTCAAAGCATGAAATTTATCTTACCTTCCAGCTTTCACATGCAGCCGTAGCCTGGTTATGGCTTAAAGTGCCTCAGCTGCCGAGAGGTACAGACAGTGTCATATATATATATATTTTGTTGACACTCACAGGCGTATTTTTGAGCAGACGTGTGCAGGTGCACAAGTGTGGAGCACACACAAGTACACACTCGCGCGCACACCGGTCGGTGTACATATATTCCGTATAAGTGGTTGAGAGTGTCCTCCGCTGTGACACATTAAACACGCCTTGCTTGGCTTAATTGCAACATTTGCATGACTGGCTTACAGCCACCGGCTGGTTGAGCCTATGAGATCTTATAAAAACATTTATCTCATACTAATCTACGTAAAAGGTCGCAACTTTAAATTACCCTTAGAGTCTTGTGATAAATAGAAAGGCTTAATTTGTTTGCTGTGTGATGGAGATAAAGGAAATTTTTGCAACCAATACTCGCAGTCGTGCTACTTTTGCATTTATTATGCTAAAATTAACCGTTAGTTACTATCTAAATTTCACTTTAAATCAGTGTTGATAAAAATCTGCAGACAAGGCGGTTCATTTGCGTAAAGTTTTTTTTATAATGAATATGACTTTTCTTGCTTAAACATGTTTTAGCCTATTTTTAAACAATTGCTGAAGAGTTTTTTCATTTCATTATATTTTTTAATTAACTTTGTGTTATTTTTTACCAAAAAAAAAAATAAAAAATTAATATTATGTTTTTGAAATTATTTGGTTGTACACAGAATATTGAGTTAAGTCATTATTATAGTTAACTTGTTAACGGTCAACACCACGATGTTGGTGTTGATGGGGGTGTAGTGGTAAGCCAACACGTACATACATAAAGCTTCTGGCCACTTACATGTGTGCCTTAGTATTTTATAAATAAATACATGCACACATACATGCATATGTATATGTATATCATTATGACATAAATAACAACCGGCGCAGATAAACTTGTCTGTTCAAAGCAGATGAAATGCCAACAAACTACCTGTCCAGTATGTGTGTTATTGTATGTATCCTAATTAAATTTTTAGTTTCGGAAAACACTTTGCATTCAAACACATAAAGTTGAAATATTTTTAACTCATTAATGTTTAGGGAAAATTGTATCTAATTCTTACGCTTACGTGACTTTTCGGTGAATTTCGTTTAT